CATGAATGTACAGCCTAGTTGATGACTTCGTCGAAAAGAAAATTTTCTTCGCTGCAACTGTCTTTTTATTATTTCCTAAGAATTGGAAATGGCAGTTTATCTGTCTGCGAGTAAAACAAGATCTTTGTTCGAGATGAAGACTACCTGATGTGGTCGAATCAATAAATGAACATGCTGTAAACTTAAATGAACAATAACAGACAGTTTAAATTGACCGGAACGACGGCAACATTAATAAGTGCTGTTCACTATCATTACTGAAAAGAACTCAGCTTTATCGAAAGAAATCCTTCAGCACCTTGATGATTGGCTTGTTTTTGGAAGAATAAACAAGCTTTTTGTCTTTTAGATCATTGAAATGTTTTAAAATCACTCCACCTGATTATTAGTTAACATATTAGGAATTCACTGATTGATTAATCACTCAACAGTAACCAGTTCATTCCTTATAAATGACTTTATTTCGTCAATCAAGTTTTCACTAGGGTCATCAAGCTAGAGATCTTTCCATTATGGTGCATTTCGATTTGATTTTAGGTGGTCATAAGTAGTCAGCTACTCAACAATAACATTTCAAGTGCTGGACTGTAGGGAATAAATTGATTTCATATTAGATTTCATCATGAACCACTGAGAACTAGGTAGTACTAGACAGCCATTTCCTCACCAGTGATCAGCTATGATGCCATCATGGATCGAATCTAGGACCTCCAGTTTACGAGTCATGTATGTTTGCCATTCACTCATTGTGAATTCTAACTTCTAATTCGCTATTTGCAGCCGTACTGCTATCCAATACCATTCTTCTTCTTGAACTCCACCAGTCATGACTTCTCATGACTCCAGGAAGTTCATTGTGTAGTTCGTCATTAATTACAAGGGAATTAATTTTCAAGTGGTGAGTTGGGGGGTGGGGTTCAATAAACGTCAAGATAGATTTCGTTGTGAACAATAAATGTTGTCTACTTGCAATATTTTATCTTATTCTTGGTATTAGATGGTTGGAGGTAATCGGTAGGCAGACTTGGACCTAGGTTTTGTGCTAGTTGGCACTCACCAGTCAAAAAGGCGTATCTGCAACCTTGAAGAAACTCATGTCCCTTCTGAGATTCACACCTATGTCATCCAGTGCTGCAGCCAGAGACGCTTTCATGATACCACTTACTAATTAGTGTCCAATCAAAGTAGTCCTACCGGAGGAGAATTACGAACCTTAACAGCTAAGTTGTAACATCTCTCACTGTATCACTGGGTGACACGGGTTCGAACCTCAGAGGGAAATGAATTCCTTCAAGTTTGCAGATATGTCTTGCTGACTAGCACGAAACTTGCGTCCAAGGCTTCCTGTGTTCGATTGCCTCCAACCATCTAATATCAACAATTTATTTTATTCTGTTGGTAATTTACCCTTTTAATTATAGAATTAGTTCAATGTTTAGGGGAAACGACATTCATTACACTAGAATAATGCTCACAACTGTTACGAAACGGGAGACTTATCTAGAAAGTGAATACTTCAAGGAAATGGAACAATGTATGGATTTCTTTGGAATAATAATTCTCTTTACTATTATTATTGTTTCCTTTAATTCCTAGAGGAACATGGGGCTTCAGCCGTGCGTCTCCACTGCGTTCGGTTCTCTGCTAGAGTCTTCACCTGGCTCCAAGTCTGCCCACACGCTTTCATTTCCTCTTCACATGACCTCCTCCAAGTCACCCTTGCACTGACGACAAACTCGCCGCTTCCCTTTCAGGTTCCACTCGAGCAATGGCTTGTCTAGTGATATCACTTGATGGTTTCCTCAGAGTACGGTCAATCCATCTCTATTTCTTCCTGCCTATTTATTTAACAATCGGTTCCTGGTTGGTTCACTTGCAGAGATCTCTGTTACTGGTCTTTTCTGGCCATCTGATCTTGAGTATTGAGCGAAGACAACTGTTAATGAAGGTCTGTAGTTTGTTTGAGATGCTCTTTATGACGCATCAAGTCTCTGATCCGTATAGTAGAGATAGAGAGGTGACTGCCATTCCAAGCCTTGTTCAATGATGATCCGTAATATGGCGATTTGATCAACACATGACTTGTTTCTCCTGAATCCAGCCTGTTCCGGTCGAAGTTTTTCATCAGGAGTGGCTTGTTTGATTCTCTCTAGGACGATGCGGCTAAGTATTTTGCTTGGGATGGACAGGAGCATAATTCATTGACTTAAGTCTCCTTTCTTCGGCAGTTTGAATAAGTATCCTTTCTTCCAATCCTCGGGTACTTTGCCTTCTTTCCACATCTTCTCCAGTAGTGGCGTCATCAAGTCCGCTGTCGTCTCTGGTTCCTTTTTCAATGCTTCTGCTGGGATTCCATCTAGTCCTGCTGCTTTTCCAGCATTTAGCATCTTGATTGCCTTCAGGACTTGTGATTTCGTCGGGGGTTGGTGTTCACTGGTAGCTCTGTCTCCGTTGTTGGTATTGTTGTTTGAAAATCTTTCCTAGTTAAGAAAACTCACTTAACTCCAAGATAAAATGATAAAATGCTTTTATTTTGTCATTTATCCTTCTATACCTCGTGTTCTGTTTAAAATTTCACTTCACATCTAAATGTCGCTTATTTTACTCTTTCTGCTATTGTAAAAAAGATTATTTAGAGTCATGTGATCTGTTATCGCATTATATTTCGAAATTCCACTCTTTTCTCCAAGAATATCCATCTAAATTATCTTGTAAATAATCAGTGCTTTTCACACCTCATAATTTCATGTGATTTAAGCATTGAAATCATTGCCGACTTTTGTAAATCTGCGGTTACTTTCATTAACTTTTTCAATAAATATATAACATTCAAAAAACTATACCACTTGAGTAAAATTAAACAAATGCTAATTCGTGTAATAATGTGAATAAGTACAAAGTACTTGTGATTATAATCGCTGCTTTTATATCAACCATTAAACCATGATAGGAAACATTTGTAATTTTGACTGCATTGATGTGGAAATTGTTTTTCTCTGAAGAGTCATACTTGCTGAAAATGGTTACTCAAACCGACTTACAGAATAAAATGCAAAAAAACCCATAACTAACTCAATTCTAGAGAAAACCATCTTCATGGTGACTTTCCACAAGGATATGAAAGCATATTCCAGCAGAGTTTTGATAAGGGAGTAAGGATGAGTGTGAGAAGCTCTTTCCTAAAAGACTTGATCGATTTCTGTCTTTTAGCCAACCTTAATCTTATCAATTTCATGCAAACTTGTCTCGTTTCAAACTGCTAAAGACAGTGAAGCCTTGAGTATTTGCGAATTTAAACGAGACTTTGGTGTACAGAAGGAGTGTCTTCAGTCCTTATTTCTACCTTAGTTGTAGAAGAGAAACGAAGAATGAAAAAATTATTTATTTGTTTTTCGTCTTGTTTATTTAAACTGTGTACCTTCCTCTTATTATTACAATTGCTGTCAAGTCTGTGTGGAGATCAACAGCACTCAGCATGAAAAATAAGATCCGTATTTTCAACTTGAATGTGAAATCAGTGCTACTATATGAATCAGAGACTTGGCGCCATTTCACGTAGGGCACTTCCAACAAACTACTGACCTTAATCAACAAGTGTCTTCGCTCAATACTACTCAAGATTAGATGGCCAGAAAAGATCAGCAACAGGGATCTCTGAGAACGAACCGACCAAGGAACCAATTTTGCCACAAATATGCAAGAAGAAATGGAGGTGGATTGGCCATACTCTGAGGAAACCATCAAGTGACATCACACTCCAGGCCGTCGCTCGAGTGGAATCTGAATGGTAAGTGGCGAGTTGGTCGTCAATGCGAGGGTGACATGGAGTAGGTCATGTGAAGAGGAGATGAAAACATGTGGGCAGACGTGGAGCCAGGTGAAAACTTTGGTGGAGAACCGAACGCAATGCAGACGTATGACTGAAGCCCTATATTCCTCTAGGAACTAAAGGAGACAATAATATAATAATATTTATATGATTATTATTTTAATTCAGTGTATTTTTTGCAATGCTTGACAATGGTCAAACCTGAAACAAGTCAAATTTCTACAAACCAACTTTTGGAAATTCATCTGATCCTTGCTAGTGACTGCCTAAAAGACGAAGTTGACTAGAATTCTAGTCAGAGGTCATAACAAGTGGGAGCCACTAGATCGAAAGGTGTTAGGACAAATACTCACCGACGACATTAGCTGGTGGTCGGGCTAAAACCACAAATTTTTAGAAGTTAGAATTCATGAGCCACTGAGTCGAGTCCCGGTGACCGAATGATCTACGAGCTTGACTTGAACCTGCAAGGTCCTGTGTTCGAGCTCCAATAATTCAGAAACTAGGATGAAACAGGTGTCCAGTACTCTCTGCTGGTTTTCAATGGTTCTCTAACTAATATCAATCAACGATTATAATCACAAATATTTTATCGGATTTCACATTATTATTATTAATAGAAATATTCATACCCTGTGTTTAAAGTTCCTCATGGGATAGAGTTTCCTAACAATCATATATCTATACGATTGTACAGTATCACAATGAGTTAATACTTTGTTCATGAAGATCAAATTACATATTCTCGTTTTTATATCTCTTATGCTTTTTATAATCAGATGCGTAAAGAGAATTAGACCAATACATTTTCGTACTATACAGCCAAGTACCGACTGCCCAACAAATGTGCACAAATAAATGGAGGTGGATTGAAGATATCCTGAGGAGATCACCTTCAAGTGATATGATACTACAGGCCTTCGAGTGGAAGCCGAATGCGACTCGACAAGCTGTGCATGGGTCCGACAGTGACATGGAAAACATCATGGAAAGGTGGGAGAGAAAGCTTATGGGCACTCATGAAGCCAACTGAAAGTGGCTTCAGTGCTGCTGCGGATCTTCGTTCTACTTGTAAACCAAAGATAATTGGCTCAAGTGGTCTAATTAACAAAGTAACGGATGGAGATTTACGTTGAATATACAGTGTACACAGATAAATACTTGAACTTACTGTTAGGTTTCAATTGTATCCATTGTTCTGAATCATTATCCGTATGATCAGAATTACTTGCATAGTCAAAATTTGTTTTAATCGGTTTAACAAGATCTGTGAGATCATTCAGCGTTTGACAGTCATTATAAATTGGTGTTGCAGAAGGACTTGATGGACAACTGATCATTTGTCGACGTGGTAGACTTTTATAAAACCATGCTCCTGACCGTTTCCAAATCTAAGTGGATTTTTAGAAAAAAATGAGAAAAAAAATCCCAGAGTAAAAGAGGTGAACTTCTTTTTAAATTTAACCCTAAGGATGTTATTTAGAAGGGCGAAGACAGCTTTGCAGTTAAACGAAAACCAGATCAGATTCAAACGAGCTTCAGATCTCCTTCATAATTTAAAAACTTTGGATAATACTACTAACTAGTAGGTTCTCACTCCTGATAAAATACTCAATAATATGACCTTTACTTGCTTAATTTGTTGTAATTTAACGAAAACTTCAGGGATATCAACAGGTGTTTAAGGTGCTTGCTTATTCTTGCTGTGGCACGAGTTCCTTCAAGACTACAGATACTCCTTGCTGATGAGTGCCAAAAAGCACAAAATCTAAGTCCAAGGATGCTCACCGATTGCCTCCAACCATCGAATAACACTACTGCGCACAATTCATTCTTTATTACAAATTCTACCTCGTGATATTCATGCATAATATACACTAGTTTGACGTGAGCTGTAGTGCAGAGTATGCTGGATTACGATTGGAAACATCATATCTTCCTTCGAGGTGTTTTTAAGTACTTCTCAGGGACTATATACTAAAACAAATATGTTTCTGAAGGCGGAAAGTGCCTCCTACCTGTGGGCACTAAAGTTATTCCGTTTCATTTCAGCAACATTTTGTACGACCAAATCAACATACCTGAGAAACGCTGATGTTTTCATAGCTTGTCCTAAATTATTAATACAGTCAATGAAACAAACAGTCTGATTTCTGGGTAAAATTTATGACTTAATTGAGCCTTTTGGTGCTGCTGACGTGTGTAAGCTGAATGATTTAACTATGGAGCTTTGATTGTTTTCCTAGAAAGCTTCATCAGCGCTAACTTCACATTGAGTCAATCATTATCTATATTCTTCTACAAAAAACATCAAAACTTAGCCACGTATACAATTTACAGCTTCAACACAGATTGACATCAGTTCGAGAACCACTGAGAACCACACATAGTACTGGACAGCTGTTTCATCCTGAGTTTGGGATTCATCAGTAGTACGCAAATACCGGAATCAGGACCCAGAATTCACGTGCAGTTTGGCTGGGTCCCAGTGATTGAATGTTTTACGAATTTGCCTTGAAACTGGAAAATCCTGCGTTTAAATCCCATTGAAGAAGGGTACTGATGATGAGTCCCAAACTAGGACGAAAGCACTGTCCAGTACTCTCTGGTTTTCAATGGTTCTCTAACTGATTTCACTTTGCGTGGTCATACTTGAAACAAATCAAACCCCTATAAACTCATTCTGCAATATATGCAATTAACATAAAAATTAAGTTGGTATAACAAATTCACTTTCTTTTTGAAATTTAAGCTCTTTTCAGACAAGTTATACTTTCAAGAAATACACAAAATTGTGTTACAAAACCAAATATTTACAAATATCAGAACATAATTGATTAGAAACATACTTCTCTGGCTTCATAGCATATTTTACAAACGAATGAATGACTATCACCCTGACGTGAATTTGTTTTAACTCTAACTCTTTCTAGAAATTGTTGACTGTGTAACGCAGCAGAATTCAATGTACCAATAAGACTACTACGACGATTCAAAAATCTATGTTTATTTGTATCCGACGTTGCCGTTGTTGCTGTTGTTGTTGATGTCATCTTTGTCGCATTCATTAGATTACTCGATGTTGTACCTCCATTCGCCTGACTTTTATTCACTGGACAGTAAGTTTGATGTTGAGGTGTCCCAGCTAGACTACCACTACCATGCATATTTGATATCCATTGAAAGTTGAGTAGGGAATTACGTTTTGTTACAGGTTGTCGACATAGAGATGAAATAGTCACTTCTACACAACATGCTGTACATACACATCGACCGCATTCCATGCAGACTATTGGTAAATTACTTAAATGTCCAAATTCTTTTCTGCACAGTGCACATTCTTCATTTGGTTTACCACCAGTTGTTTGTTTTAAACGTTCAAGTCTTTGCAACATTGCTCTATGGAAGAAAAAGAAACGGTATTAAGAAAGTCATAAAAGCTGGTGAAATATCAAATATTCAAAGTCGAAGGGGAACTTAAATATCCATCTCCAACGTGCATATGCAATTGTGAACACATGAACAACAACAAAATGTAAATGTAAGCTATTATTACTATTATTATTAAGTGATTGACGAAGAACTGCGTAATCTCAGAGGAACCTTGATGGAAAATGGTTTTCCGTCTAGGCTCATAGATAAGAATCTAAAATCAAAGAAGACTTCCGAACAAGTTCAATCCGTCCCGAAGAAGATGCTTCTACTTAATCTAGAATTCAAAGTGACAATGAAGCAGAAATCCTTTGCAAATCCTTGAGGAAAACATACTTCATCGCAAACCTACGAATGACGTTTTCCTGCAAGAAATGGTTCATCCAGAACGCGAAAGACAAGTTGTTGCATTAAGCCACTTCAGCGTGCATGTAACAGTTTACTTGCTCGTGTGGAGCTGAGTATATCGGCTGTATCATAAGCCTACTTGCAAAACACTATCCAACCTGGCTAGTAAAAGGAGAACGAAAATGTGTATACAGTTCAGTGACAGAACATCTGGTCAACTCACGACATTCAGCGCCATTAGAAAAATCCTTCAAAATCATATACAAGATTCGATCAAACCTATCAAAGAGAGTAAAATCAAGACAACTGGGCATAGTCGTGTTACTAGCCATCCAAAAACTCAAATCCACGCTATGTATACAAAAGAAATATGTCCCTGCCATGGCCATCATAAACAGGTAATTCTTTTAATAGTGACTATCCCATTACCTTTCCTATCCAAACTTCCTTCTTATTCATGTTATTATTAAGTTTTTTTCAATCCCTATTGACACTACCACATCTTCATATCCAAACTTCCTGACTATTTTCTCATTTATACATTTCTAATCCCTAACTGCACAATATGTCATTCTTCTCAGTAATTATGATGTTACTTCGTTTGAGTTTTATCCGTCCATACCCTGTTTATTATGGCATTTTAATTCTAATTGTGATTGTATTAATTTGACCCTTGACTGGAAATTATTCTGGAAGTTTCCTAACTGTTTATTATAAAAACATGAATGTACAGCCTAGTTGATAACATCGTCGAAAAGGAAGTTCTCTTCGTTGCAACTTATGTACTTAAGTTCTGAGTGGAGCAAAGGGCACATCGTCACTCACGATGTTCTCTGAAGCCTTTTTTATATGTAGCTCCACGACTATCCATAAACTTTTATTTCCTTCAAACGCAATCACCTCCGTGTCACCGTTGGACCAATACCCAACTAGTCGTTTCCCAATGGAGCTGCTTTCAAGAGCCTGGCACATGGTGTCACTCAACAGTTCCCCCAACGTGTAATCGATTTATCTCACTTTCTATCCGCATATTTGTTAGGAAATAAGTTCTTGGTTGGTTAGCTATCAGAGTTACTTGTCGTCGTTTATTCTTTTCAGCCAACCATTTAATCTTTTTAATATCCAGTTAGCGAAACGCAGATATTTGGTAAAAGTCTACAACCTGCTGGAAATTCGCTTTTCGTTACACTCCATGTCCCTGAACTATGTTGGCATTATTTCAGGGCATAGTTTTTTAACGTCACTCGTATTGTTACTGTTTAATACAATTTAATGCTTGAATGCACTGTACATACAGTGATAGAATTTCATTGAAAAGACCATTTGGGGGATTACATGAATACAGTGTGACTGAATTTCATATATATCCTGATGTATGGATGAAATGACTTTCTTTTTCTGTTCACTTGGTTGGATAAATTTATGCAGGGAATTTTATTTCAATATATATTTATCATGTATGAAAATAATTCAATTCATTCACCATTTCCAAATTCTAATCCACTTTTTCTCCCCTTCTATTCACAATGCTGATATGATATCAGATTGGAATGAAAATTTTGAGAATAAAAAGATGTATATATATATCGGATATTTAACGCCTATTTGATTTCACTGAACTGAATATAAAGACAACTGTGTGGGAGGTCCAATTCAGAGAAAAGTAATAATAATAATCACAATAATAACAATGACAAAACTAACTAGGCTAATGGTTTATAGGTGTACATTCTATGTAATACGTTTACTGCCAGTAAACGTTATTATGACTAGAAAAGAGGACGCCACAATTCTGAGAAGCGTACAGTCCTACAGGAGGTCAATCGCGAGCCTGAATAGCTCAGTGGTAACATCTCTGACTACAGGCAGCAGTGGGTGATACGGGTTCGAATCTCAGAAGGGACATGAGTTCCTTCAGGAATGCAGATACGCCTTGCTGACTGGTGAGTGCCAACTAGCATGAAACCTAGGTCAGCTGACTGGGCTTCCTGTGGCCGATTGCCTCCAACCATCCACTATCATTGAAAACCTACATCAAGCAGTCTAATAAAGCGCTTAGTCCACAGAGCAAGAACAATCTGTTCTAATGAATGTCTCAATGAAGAGCTTAATATTATTAAACATTAGATGAGTGAGAATAGTGACCCAGAAACATTCATTCGATAAGAATATGAATCAAAAACTAGGATAGACGAAGTACCAACAGTATTGAAAAAGGCCTTATTCTTACAAATTCAGTTCCTTGAAGATAACATCACTGAGATATTAACACCATACCATAGGAATACGGCGGTAAAATGATCATTGAGTGCTGCTGAATTATACTGTGTCTTCAAAACCACCGCTATTTTACGTTCCGGAGGTAAAGATAAACTGCCTAATTTCGCCTCTTCTACGTGTATCTACCGATTTGACTGCTCTTGTGGAGCCAAATACATAGGCCATACAATTGGGCGATTTTATTATCGGATTTGCAAACGCCATCCTGTGTGTATTTAAGTAAACGACAAACAAATTCCATTCATAGCTGTATTCTACCTCATCTTGTGGATACAGAACACGAAATTGATATTAATCAGGCTTTCAGAGTCATTTAATGCATACCAGCTAATCTTAACTTCACCTTATGAGTTCGTCTACTATATATGGCTGAGGCTGGCAGTTGGAATCCACGTTAAGAAACGTAACTTGTGTGTCTAAAGCAAGAAGTCGGTTCAGACAGTGTCGTTAATGTTATTCAGCTGTATGAGGAACTAGTATACAGCCAAACGGATAAGCGAAAGAATTCCAGCAGGGTTTTAGAAGTGAGAAAGTAAGGATATGAGAATCTCTATTCTAGAGCATTAAATCTATTACTGTCACTCTACCAACCTCAACCATGATTCTAGGATCATCTGTCTAATTCACGCTGCCCTGCCTCGTTTTCGTCGTTCTAAACTTCTATGAATTTCGAGCGCCTTGGTTATTCATGAATTTGAGCCAAACCTATGTGTACGAAAGAAGTAAATAGGGTGCCTATTTATAACTTCACTTTGGTGCGGCAAACGTTTATTTGTTTGGCTTTCATTTACTTTAATTGGCTAATCTTTATACGTTTCCCTGATTAGTATTTCATTTCTTGCTCTGACTTGTTCCCAGTATGATTTTACCTGTCCCCCTTGTCATTCTAAATCAAAAATTTCTTTGCAACGTTAAATTCTATGTTATTAAATTCTACATCATGTTATTTGCCTACTAATCCCATAATTTTCCATCCCTATCCAATATCTATACATTCTATGAACTATACTATATATATGACATGATTTGTTTTACAACTTGATGTTTAACTATGATTATAATGACAAAGCTTTTAATTGCATTTCATACTACTATTATTATTACTTAGTGTATTCACACCTTTGTTTAAATTTCCTCATGGGATATAAATTCCTGAATGTCATGTATATATGATTGTACAGCTTGATAATAAATTCGTTGAAAAGAGTCTATTCACTGAATATATATATTTTCTAAGTCTTCTAAAAAAACCCACTTTATATCCCAACATTTGATACTAAGAGGAAGAATTTCCCACGAAATAATTGAAGATACTCAATGCATTCTAGACAAAACAGTTTACTGATATCAACCCTAAACTTGTGAGAGCCGAGAGAATACGATGAGAAGGAAATTCTTGTTTCTTTCTAAAATATGTGGGAATTATTGTTGAGGAAATAGAGTTGCATGAGATTTCCCCTTGTCCATTGGTGACACTTATTAGTTTGTTATTTTTTGCAGTCTAATATATTATTTCATTAGTTAACTCTTGATTGTATCGAAAACATGGGTAACTATTTCTTTGTAGAGATTAACTGTGTATTACTGTGCTTCACTTTCAGTCTTTGAACATATCCAAAAATAAACACCTTAGTTTCTCACACTGTCATCTTCAACGTTTCTAGAATGTTTTAGAAAAAACAACAGATTGAGCGAAGAACTACGCATTCTTTTTCAATTAGTAGTTCCTCATTATCGGATGGCTCTACACTAATTTATTTTTTTTTACATCAAAATGTTTTTGCCAATCAAGTGGTTATTTCGATAAAGAAAGGAAGACGAAATTTGCAGTATAAAATGATATCATTCTATTTCACAGGTTCTCACCAGCTGCAGACTACCTGAAATTACAATGGTTATATAAATGATAATAACATACTTTAATGTTTGATTAGTAGTAGAGAAGAGATAAAATTGACGCATCCAAAAAAGAATGAAAGCATTACAATTTTTAGTTTAAGTTATCATCATCAATTTATACACTTTCAGAGTTGAAAAGAGGGGGGAGGGGTAAGACAGAAAACAGAAAAATTGATTAACAGAAACAGTGTTAGCTTGTAGGTTCACATGGCAACTCCAAAAAACAAAAGCATTTACAGTTTATAAGATTGAGATTTGCTCAGTGAGTTGAGATCACTGAATCAGATGACTAATCAAAATCAAAATTCAGTTACCAAGGGAGTGAGAGGTTAATCACACTCTCTTTCTGTATGCATAAGTCTGGCTGGTTTGAATCATTTGATTGCGATCGCTTCGGTAAATCGAAAGAAATTTGCTGTCCTTTGTCTATTTAATATTTTGAAGGACTTAGAAATCTCTACGAGATGTCTGGTATCAACAATATGTCTGATAATTGCACTCTGAGAATATTTTCCTCCTTTCAGGCACAGGTTTCTTGGAATATGTTCAGAAAACTGGATAGAAGCCCTTCTTTCTGTCCTTCCAATGTACTTGCTCCCGCAAGTAAACGTAAATTCATAAACGCAGTTTATCACCTATATAACCATTGTAATTTCAGGTAGTCTGCAGCTGGTGAGAACCTGTGAAATAGAATGATATCATTTTATACTGCAAATTTCGTCTTCCTTTCTTTATCGAAATTTATCAAGGGAACCAGTTGTATCAAGTGGTTATTTTTGTTAATCAGTTTTTGGTATAGGCGTGTGTAAAATTAAGAGGTTAAAAGTCATCAAAACAAATAACTGTGAGTCGGTGGCACATTGATAGAATGTTTACCAGCCACGCTTATGGTCCGGGGTTGGGTTCCCGGTCGACGCACTCCTTTACCTCGCTAAGCCAGTAATTAGACTGGTAAAGGAGGAAGGTTCGGCATGAGGCTCTTTGTTCCAGTGGGAACAGAAAGGAATAAAATTAAAAAAAATTGAAATTAAAAAGAATTAAAATAAAACAAATAACTAATAGTTATTAGTAACAAGATATCTAAGTTTTTAAAAGAGGGGTGAAAATTAATTACGGAATTCAAGATAAGGTGATTCTTAGGCTTTAGCAACAAGTTATTACATAATCAAGAAATTTGTAAAATAGCAATCATGACTAAGAAGAATAAGATGACTCAGAAGAATTACGTAAAATACAAACAAGTTAATAGAATTAGCTGGAATTGTAAAAATTGTAAAAATTAACAAAGTCAAAAGATAGTTACAAGGGAAGGGGAAAAAATCGTTTTTAAAAACTTAATACATATTATGTAGTTGGCCATGGCAAAGAAAGGGGCTGTACAAATTTCTTTTGAACCAACGCATAGATTTGGCTTGTTCAGATGAATTCCGATTGTCTCTGCTGTATGTAAAAGTCGTACTCGTAAACCATGAGGCGAGAGGTTGGGTGATATACGATAAATAACTTTAAAAGCTTTGTTAGAGTCGATTTGATGTCCAGTATCGACGAGATGAGCTAGTATTGAGCTGCGTATAGCTTTATTTGGACCTTTGCCAAACGAAGATGAGGAATTTGACGATGAACTTGCCTGATCGTACGCCCTGTGTAACTAGCTCCACACGGGCAGTTAAACTGGTAAATACACATAGAAGAGGCGAAAAGGGCAGTGTGTCCTTATTTCTTGGACTATGTATCGGCTGGCTAGTGAATATACAACATAGCTTAGCTGCTTTGAAAGTCTTTTTGAAGGCCTTTCTCAGACGTTGTGATAAGATCTCCCTATTGACATCACCCGTGAATTGTAGCCTTAGGAAGACTGACTTTTTGGGGACAGTCGGCAACTTCTACTTTTTACACTCTGAGTTCATGTGTTTGTTCACGAATTTAGTTGGATATCCGCGAATATTACCGAGTTCTTCGTTCAGTGTGTCATTTGAGTGTAGAGCCAACCGATGATGAGGAACTAATTGAAAAGAAATGAATATTTCTTTGCTCAATCTGTTGTTTTTTCTAAATGCGTAAATGGGAATTTTGAAATTACTAAAATGTTTAAGATGAGATATATAATTTTGTTTTTTACTCAACATCTGTAAAAGTTTTATCGTCTTTGAGGCTTTTTGAACTAATAATGTCTAGAATACAGAGCAACAGAGCACAGGAAATAAATGTAACTTTTCTCCCCTGAAATGAAGATAAAATTATAATGAGTTTGTTTTTTTTGTTAAATTCACTCCAAAAAATGTCACACCTAATTTGGAATAATAATAAGGATAAGTGTATAAACTGTAGAGACTTACTCAACTCTAGCTTTCTCGTTCTCAGCAAGCACTTCATTACGTTTCAGAACGCGTAGAATTTGTTCCTCTTCATCTGTACTCAATGGTTGACCTCGACGACGTTGTACCGACTGTGCTCTAGATGACCATCCAGTTCCAAGTCTGTCAAGAGTTTAATGAATAAAAATATGTGATGCGTAAAAAGTTTAAGAAAATAAGTATATGCAGAGCATTATTTCAGAATCATTTTTGAAGCGTCAGCGTACAAGCACTTTTTCAATTTCAAAATAGACTTCATCACGAACCGACATCTGTTAGAGAACCAAAGAAGACCAGATAACACTGGAGAGTTGCTTAACCCTCCTAGCTTGGAATTCTTCAACACTCTGTGTTCATGATACTCTTGAGTTAGAATCTATGTGTGTGTACCACTGAAGAATCTCAGTCTAGGACGAAACAGCTATCTATTCCTGTTTAGCTTTCAGTGGTTGTCTAACTGATGCCAATTTGAGAAATAATCTACCCTGAAAGTTATTTTACTTCATTTTGGGGTTTATAAACATATCCTATTAGGAAAAATCCCCATTAGGACATTTAAAAAACAGAAAGATTGAGCGAAGAAATATTTACTTTTCAATTAGATCCTTATCTCTGGCTCTACTCTAATATACACGTATAGCATTTTTATTACAATACACAACAGTTTACCAAACAAGTGGCACTGATATGTTTGTTAACAATAATTAAACAGTGTCAAAATGTCAATGGGATGATAATTAACGAAGGAAATCAATACACATTTAAAAGGTAGAAATGGATAGAATAAATTAATTCTACAAGGATGACACGTAATTAAAGATGAAGTGGTCAAATTAAATAAAAATAAAAATAAAATAATTTGGATAATTATAATTTAATAGGGGGAGGGGGCGACGTAGTCCTGTTTATGCATTCTTGTAACGATGACCACGGTAAGGAAAGTGGCTGTACAAATTTCTTCTGAACACATAGGCTTGGCTTCTTCAGGTGGATTCCGATTGCTTCAGCTGTCTGTAGAAGACGAACTCGTAGAGGAAAACTAAGATTAGTCGGAATGCGATAAATAATTTTAAATGCAGTATTAACACCAACCTTATGCTCAGTATCAACAAGGTGTGCTAAAATAGAACTATGAATATATCTTGTTTGTCCCTTGCTTAACCATGTTGGATGATGTTCGAAAATACGACGATGAACCTGCCTAATCGTACGCCCACTTTATCTTTAATTACGTGTTATTCTTGTAAAATTAATTTATTCTAACCATTTCTACCTTTTAAATGTGTATTGATTTTCTTCGTTAATTATCAACCCATTGACATTTCGACACTGTTTAATTATTGTTAACAAACATATCACCACTTGTTTGGTAAACTGTTGTGTATTGTAATAAAAATGCTATACGTGTATATTAGGGTAGAGCCAGAGATGAGGATCTAATTGAAAAGTAAATATTTATTCACTCAATCTTTCTGTTTTGCAAATATCCTATTAGGATAGTGGTCAAATGATCAAACCTTTTCATAAGTCTGTTATAACTAGCCTAATAGACAGTCATGATTACTTATCATATAATCGCTCTAATTAGCACAGTCTGGTAAGTAAGCATTCTCACTTTTAAGTACTGTTACACCCTACTGGTTCGTATGTGTATTTGTGTGTCATGGAAGTAAATACACTTTATTTTATTTTATTCACTTTAAACTTTCTCGTTAACTGATTGGTTCGAAGTGTCTGGCCTCTGTTGACAAGTAGGTTCCTTGAGTGGATGCTGTGGAATTTCCAAAATGAATTATATATTAACTGATACCCTGTGCATGATGAATGAATCTTCTCGTCCAAGCGGTCTTGTGGATAATTCTTTAGCGTTTGAAACTATTGGTACTCAACTGGAGCCTCAATCGGAGCACCATCACTTATTGGGAATGCAAGCACATCCAGATGAAGAATCTCAGACGGGATTCCGCTGCTAATCACCATCCATCAAACCAACAAACTAACCGAGAACCAATCGCTCAACAAATATGTAGGAGAAAATGGAGATGGATTGGGCATACACTGGCTATGGAGGCCGTCGAATGACATTGCGGGAATCTAAGTAAGAAACGACGAGTGGGTGGTCGAAGCGAGGGTGATGTGGAGGAGATCGTGTGAGTTGGAGGTTGAGGAGATGAGAGTTTGTGGGGAACCGTGGTCAAAGCTGAAGAGGACGGTAGAAGATAGGACAAAGTGGAGATGTGTCGTTGAAGCCGTATGTTCCACCCGGAACTCAAGGGAATAATAATAATACAGGTATTAATAAAACACGTTTTACTGAATTCGTTGAATTTTGATATTTCCCCTCAGTTAAATACTGTATACACTGTATTGTATTTATACTATAAGAAATACATAGGAAGATATGTGTCATAGCAAACGAGAGGTAAGAACGCTTCACTGGGCAAATTCAGAAAGATAGATGCAGGGTGGAAGCAGTATGGTAGAATGAAAATTGAGATTAAAATGGATTACAGATCAGTTACACTCAGTACGGTAATAAACAGATTGTTATCAGAGATAGAATCTGAATATAGCTAGGAACTGTAAAATGAATAATCACACTAATGCGACGAGTTAAGATAATTATACGAACAGAAGATAATTTTAATTAAGACAATAATAACAGATGGTACAAAGTAAGAAATTATTGATCACAATTAACAAAGTAACAGATATTCAAGAGTTTGTTTGTAAGGATTAAATTTGTTTTTACGAGTTTGACCACGGATTGATATCAGTTAGAGAACCATTGAAAACCAGCACTGGAGTACTGGACAGCTGTTTCATCCTAGTTTGGGAATCATCGACAGTGACCAGTGAGGTCCAACCAGTCAAGTGTCAGAATAGATTTCCCGCCTATGACACTGGTCGTTGGTCGCCCTAAATCAAGAAATGCTAGAAGTTAGAATTTATGGGCCATTGAATCGGGTCCCAGTGGCTGAATGGTATACGAGCTCGCCTTGTAGTCGGAAGGTCCTGGGTTCGAACCCCTGTGGTGGGTGCGTATTGTCGATGAGTCCCAAACTAGGATGAAACAGCTGTCCAGTTCTCCTTGCTGGTTTTCAATGGTTCTCTAACTGATATAAATCCGTGGTCAAACTCGTAAAAAGTAACAGATGTTATCACGATAGATTCAAAAAAATCGCCATTTTCTTCTCTTTACATAACCAGGGTTCATAGACCCTAATTGCACAAACCTCTGCCACCGCAAGCTATTTTTGTATGTTTGTTTGCTGACAACATTTCATAACTTGACAGCATCAATATAATGATAGTATTCTAGAAGACGCTTTGTTATCGAAATCTCTAGTAGCTTGAATTCAGTTTTCGTCAATTCCTCTCTGGAAAGATGTTTGATCAAGTGAGTAGGCGATCGCTTTCAAATGATGTAGAGGTTCAGAAGTGTCAAAGATCTGCTTTCCATCTGAATATTCTTCCTATACTTTCTCCCACGTCATAATCTACTATCATCGCATTTAGTTAACTCTCTCTCTCTCTTCTTCAAGAATACACAGCTCTCGGCACCGTACACTTTTTTCTAATGACAACCTCAGCCTCACGTTTCTCATGTGTTAAAACGTTTAGCCGGTATATACAGTCAAGATGAAATAGTTCAGAGCTATACGCGCAAAGACACATACACGTACATCAATCAATATACTGACTACGCTTAATCAGAATAAAATAGTATCATTTTATTTGGCCGATTTTTCATCAGCCTCCATAAATTATTTTTAAAAACATTTTCCTTTTTATTCAGTATGCCCCCACAGATAGTGTGTTCTAACTTCCTTGTAAAGTAAGGATGCTTAATTAATAATTTTATGCATGAGGAATTCTTTAGAAAAATGAGAAGAAACAATGCTTAATTTAGTTTTTTTCTTGAAAATACGTTCGTTGTATATGAACATGAAACATAATTTAATTCACCTCACTGTGTGATTTCCCTTTCTGGAAATGTATAAACAATAACTGTCTCTTCAAGTTGTAGTATATATGATCCAATAAAATGGTTGGACTTAATGCTAAATCAAGGTACATATGAATAATCCCATTTGCATCAAAAATAATCTGATGTGAAACCATTTGTACAGATTTCTTTCTTTTAGTCAAAACATATTTTTGGTTGGGGGATTTTCATCATGAGCTGAAATCAGTTGGAGAACCATTGAAAAACCAGCAGGCAGTACTGGACAGCTGTTTTGTCAGCCTAGTTTGGGACTCTTCAACAGTACGCATCCATCCCACCAGGGTTCGAACCCAGGACCTTCTGGTTACAAGGCGAGCTAGCTCGTAGACTCTTAAGCCTCTGGGACCCAATCCAATGGCCAGCCAATGAAATCTAACGCCTGCCAATTCATATTTTTTCTTTTTATACCAACTGAGCTATGAGCAGTGGTAGTGCGAAGATGGAATCCCAGCCAACCACGCCATACGTAGTCTGGGTTTTGATCTCTGGCCAACGCACCACTAAACTGGTAGTAAACCTGGTAAGGAGGGAAGGTTGGCCGTAAGACTAACAACCCCATAATGTAAAAATAAAACCAATGCTGCTGAAACTGCAGCGCTGAAACCTGAAGCCCTATTTCCCAATAAGAATATAATGGAACAAAAGCAATAAATAAAAAACCGGGCAGTGAAGTACACTTATTCTATGACAGTGAATGTTTCTTCCCAGTAGCTTAGGTGAAACTTAGTGGAGTAGAATTCTAAAGCGGGAACTATTGACTGAAAGTCGACTGTTTCAGGCAATCAGCTATAGCTCCATTTCCATTAACTATTTATATAGCACGAAGAAACCAAGAATTTCGTGTTGTGGCTTTAACGTTATTATTATTCTCCTCGGTTCTGAGTGGAATATAGAGCTGCAACAACATATCTCCACCTTCTTCTATTTTCTGCCGTTCTCTTCAGCTGGGTCCACTATTGACCACAATCTCTTATCTCCTAATACTCACACGAACTCCTCTATGTCACCCTTGCATCGACAACCCACTCGCCACTTCCCACTGGAATTCAACTGAAGCGATGGCATGCACTGTGCGCGATGTTATTCGACGGTTTACTCAATGTGTGCCCAATCC